TTTCTCCTTCTTTCTCGCTCTCATTCTTTCCATACCTTCATGCTGTCGTTCTTTCCATACTCTAATCCCAGCATGCCGCAGTCTGACTGTATGTGGAAACTTAGCTGTTCTGGGATCACCTCAGACCAGCTGTCTGCACACGCTGATCACACTGACAGTGGATCAGGACTCCTTGTAGAAGCAAGTCTTTGCCTTTTAGTTATGAAAACTGCACTCAGATCTGATAAAACCCACTTTGGAGGTTCTTCTTCCATCGTCTTTACCGACTTGGTGTTCTCTCAAATATGCCAAATCGGGACTCTTTGAGTGCCATGTCCCTCTCGTACAATGATTCGATTACACAAAAGTTAATCTGGTTAGATGTCTGTCACTGCTCTGACTGAACCTGAACTCTGAGTCGTGACTGTTTTTATTCTGAACTCAAACGGTTTCTTATTTTTCCACAGGAAAGGAAGGAAGCCCATCCTGATTCTGAGGACTCAGCTCTCTGTTCGTGTTCACTCCATCCTGGGTAATTATGTCCTCAGAGTCTTCTGCTTTACTTTTTCCCTCTGTCCCCTCCTGCAGCACAGGAGTGATGACTCAGGGGAAACTCTCGCCATCTTCCACCACAGTGACGTGTTGCACTCAGCTGGGAGGATTTCCTCTCTCTGAGTCTGCAGCTTAGAAAATACAGCGGTTACTTTCTCCACATGAAGTGGAGCTCAGGTTTAGAGTTTTACTCGGCTGTTGTTTTATTTGTTGAAGGTTTGAAGGTGCTGAACACCGGGAAAGGTTAGCAGTAGCTCCTCTGAAGCTTGTTTAGAGGGATCAGAGGTGTCCTCTGAGCAGGCTGCTGGAAGGCTGAAAGTCTTTAAAAGCTTCATGGTTTTAAGTGCATTTTGGGAAATGTAGTTTCCTGCAGACTGACCCCACAGGGAGCTCACTGCTGCATGTAAATGTGAGTAAGACAGGATTAGTATGACTCTTCTCACTTCAGGCGAGCTCCAACTAAAGTCTGACACTGCAGACATTTTTAAGACCAGAAAAAATCTCCCATTGAGGTTTCCTTGGAAACGGATCGGCTTGAGAAGACGAGCTCCTGTCCGGACTCGTCCTGGTTACGTTTACAACAGGAGGAGGAGGGCGGGCATGAATGTCAGGACTATATTAGGACATATAATGGATCTCCTGATCATATCACTCATTTCATCCAGCGGTTTCCTCACAGCAGCCTCGTTTATCGCCGATTTCATCTTCAGAAACAAAAAGAAGTCGTGGCTCCTGCTTGCCTCGTTTCAGTCCCGAGGAGTGTATTTAACAAGCGAGAGTAATGCTATCGCGAGTCATGTCGAGGTTAAAGTCGGAGCTTTCTGTGGTTTTTACCGTCTTAGATCCCTGCGGTAACTCACGCTGAATGCAGGAGCTGGTTGGGATCCGGTTATCTTCAGGCTTTCCATTTCACCTGTACCTTACTAACATGGCACCAGCTATAAACTTGGAGTGCAAATTTGTCAGTGGACTGTGCATGTACGGAGTTGGTGATGCAGGAAGTATTTAAATGTTCTGATACTTTTCTGTGCATAAAATTAAACTCTTCATCGCTTCCACGCTGCTGAAATCACAGAAACAATCAGGATCACCTGTGCAGTCATCTCCTTTATTAGGCTGCAGGACAGCAACTTTAAACTGGATCCATTTAAATTAAGTTTAGCCGTCACCAATGGGAGTGTTTACCTCGAATGAAAAGGTTTTTTTTATCTGCTCTGTTCAGCTCTGTAATCACCAGATTTGATTTTCTGCAGTATGAACTTCACACATTTGTAGTAACTCTGGGTTAGTATCTTGTCCAAGGATATTTGGCATGCAGACTGGATCAAATCAACCCACCAACCTTCTGATTAGCAGATGACCTGCTCCGCCTCCTGAGCTGCAGCCACCCAGGATGCAGGGATTAGCAGAGAAAGATAACCACTATCATCGCACCGTTATCTCAAATATGATTTTAGGTTTTGTCGAGCACGCTAACACAAGGAGAGCCTGGCTGTGTTGAACATCAGTCTACCCCTCTGATTTATTTATTTAAATGTTTTCACATAAACCAGTTTACATCTGAGCTCACTGGGAAAGAGCGAGTGAAGCGAATCAGTTATCAGTCACGGCAGTATTAGCACTTTCTGTACATCCTGTGCTTTGATCGACCTTTTCATGCCATCTCTAAAAGCTTCCCTTTGCTCTCGTTTCCTCTACTCACTGCGTGCCTGGTTATATTCCTTCTGTGACCTCTGACCTCTGAGTTTTAAACCTCCACAGTCAGGTCAAACCTGTTTGTTTAGTTATTTTCCTCAAAGCTATCAGATATTATAAGTTTTAAACTTTAAGGTTTCTCATCTGTCAGCACCGTGATGGAAGTGACACACCTACTCGCAGACTTAAAGACGACCTGGCCCGGACTATCAGGATGTGGTGGGGGGGCAAGCACAGAGTAAAGGAAGACACATTTTGAGGCATTAGCTTGGCACAAGTTTAAAGAAACTGTGCCTTCCTCTAATTAATCGCTGCCAGCGCACCATCCGCTGCACACACTGATGGATCCAAATCAAACACAGCCACCGGGCTGCAGCAGGTGCATGCTGGGTGTGGCTGCGTGCTGAACGCCTCATAGACCGACTCATGACTGATGATTTCATCAGAAATCCCCGAGGAGCTCAGCGAGGGCCTGAGCCTGCAAATATTTAACTTTTTATTGTTTGTAAACAAAGAGGCTGGGTGCTCTATTTATACTCTATTGTTTGTTGTTGTTTATAAACGGAGAGCGCAGTTTAAAGTGCTTCAGCCTGCTGCTGATCGTTTAAAGACCGGCTCTCTGGGTTCTGCAGGTTAATGAGTCTCATCTCTGGACACCAGCTGGCTTTTTCTTCTTAGTCATGTTGTTTAATTGTGAGTCAAACAGGAAGTCATTTATGTAACGCTATTAGAGGACCGTACTAGAATATCTCTGCATGAGTCACAGATCATAATCCTCCATAATCATCTTACATTGGGCCTTGCTCTGTCTGAGTTCATCCTTTGTCTGCAATGAGCCAGTTTAGCCCCGCCCACTTTAAATTAACTTTCTGATTGGCTCTCACTTTCTGGTGTTCAAGTGGAAAAAGAGACATGAACATTAAATGAGGCCATATAAGGACATGTATAAGAGATCTGCTTTTATTGTTGGTCACTTTGTTGTATTTGCTGTCTGTTTGTCAGGAACACATTTGGGGACCCGTTGTCCCGGTTTCCAGCTTTATATTTTTAGTCTCTGACTAGTATATAGTAGCTTTGCATACTTTGCTACTCATAAATAAAATAAAACT